CCTCTGGGGAACATTAATTTTGAAACCAGTTCTTCGGACAGTACGGTGACGTCTACCTGGCCGGGGAGTCAAAACTGTGCTCATAACATTATCGGCCAGGTGCGGAAATCCGGGCAGTTATCACTATAAATGAATTTGTACTGCATGGGTTTGGGTTGTACGTTCGACTTTCTGGTCGTTCGGCCCTCGGGTTGCGACCGATAGGATATCCACAGCATCGAGCCCAGGGCCCGCCAGTTCTCTCAGATTCCGAATGCGGCGGCCCCGTATTTTGGGGCCGCCGCTGCATCGATAGGGGCCGGCACGCCAGTTCAGCCATACATCGTGTCACGGACTCGGTGCTGACCAGAGGGCGGTGGCAACGCCACCTCCTGGATCACCTTCAGGTAGGCATCATGTGCTTGAGGCGGAGGTGGCGGCAACGCCACCCCTGCCTGCGGACAGAAGTTGTCCGTAATCACTTTGGCTTAAGGACTGTTCGCATTGCGTGCGAAAGACATGGTCCAGTCCCGAACCGATGCCAGCGAGCGAGAGCGCCTCGACACTCGCCTTGCTATTTCAGTGAACGCATTCATTGAGAGTACGATTCCTTGAAGCTCTTGCATGTTTTTTGAAAAGTATGTATGCAGCGCTAAGGCGAGAGCCACACATTGACACCCCCCCGCCCTCAATCTGGAAAACCTCGCAAAACGTTTAAGAGGAATGTGCGCGGTGCTGAGGCGAGAGCCACATTTTGAAAACGACCCGCCCTCAATATGATAAACTCTTGCAAGTGTGTATGACGAATGTGCGTGGCGTTAAGGCAAGAGCCACATGTTGGAAGTGGTCCGCCCTCGATGTCTGAAACTGCTGCCTGCTTCTAAATTCGAAGCACCTGAAATGGTAAGGATGTCTCAGACGAAACTCCCGGCCCGCCCTTTGGAGTCGCCTCGGGGTGCGGCATGGAGGAGTTATTCACAAGGAACAAGGAATTGCGGAGGAGGAGGAGGAGGAGGCATACCGAATTTGGGGCCCTTCGTGAGACGCTCTTGGGCGCTTTTGGGTCCGTGTTCTTGCCAGCTTGGAAGCCGTCGATCAAAAAGAGAGGGGGGGTCTTTATTTGCTTCCCCCCCTGGGGTCACCAAAATCGCCTCTTGGGGCCCCACTGGGGCGCTCTCGGGCCGCTCTTTGGCGTTTTTGGGGCTGTCGGGGGGGGGCTCTTGGGCTCGTTTTGGACCTGTCTTGGCCCGTCTTGGGGCCATCTCGCATCCTTACAAGCGCGCGAGAGAGCAACAGTCATGTAGCGTCTTAGTCCTAAGATGTTTGACGGATTTGGGCATCTTGGGGGGATCCTGATGGGGCCCCGACAGTATTTTGAGCCGTCGTGTTGCCCTCGTCCGCCTGTTGGTGGTTTGTCGGAAGCTATCTTGATCCAACGTCGGCTATCTTCAGCCATCTTGTAGGCCATCTTGCGGCCCATCTGGGACCCGCTTTGGGCCATATTGGGCCTATCTTGGCGCCCTGACACTTTGCGGCCCGTTCGAAACAGCCTCAGGGAGTGGACGGGGAGGGTACCCCTTCCCACAGGGAAAAGGGAATTGGAAGAGGAAAGGAATGTATCGTTTGACCACTGTAGCCAAAAGTTGCTGGTAGGATTTATTGAGCCGCCGAGCCCATGACACTCAGGAATCACGCTCTCTCTCTGGACGTCCTTACGATTCATTCGGGAATCGCGCTATCGCTCGATGCATCCTCGCGATTCATGCAGGACTGACGCTTCAACGACCCGACCGCTCGACCAGGGCCTGTGGGTCCGCCCAGCCGTTCGGGTTCGCCCGCCCCACTCGCCCGTGTGGTTCTGCCGCTTGGTTCTCTTCTCCGACCCGCTGTCCTGCTAATTTCTCTCGTGCTCAATCCGTCTCCCTTCTCCTTGTCCGTTCCCTCCGCCCTCCCTTCCCTTGCTGTAAGGACTGCGCCAACTACGCGTTGCAGGTAAGGAAAGTCTACCCCACGGGGTGAACGATTGAAGACGAAGCGCACGTGAGCCGACACGAGCGAACCGTATCAGAAACATGTGATTGTTGTGGGTGGTGAAGTTGGTGGTGGTGGTGGTGGATGATGATGCTGATGGTGATTATGATCAGGCGGAGGAGTTTCATGAGGAGGAGGGGGATGAGTTGTTAAGCAGGAAAGCGAGGATAGTGAGGATGAAGAGGAGGAACGGTATTCGGGGGATTGCGGCGGACGATGTGTACGAGCAGTGTGTTTATGATTGTGAAACGCGATGGTGGTGTTGATGATGCTGGCGACGACGGACGTGGTGGCGATGTCGATGATGATGATGATGATGATGATGATGATGATGATGATGATGATGATTGTGATGATGGTGATGATGGTGGGAATGATGATTATGATGATGGTGATGGTGATGGTGATGGTGACTGCTGTGGCGATGATGATTGTAATTCTGAAGACGATGGTGATGGTGATGGTGATGATGGTGATGAGGATGATGGCGATGTTGGGGATGGTGATGGTGATAATGATGCTGATGAGTCTGATGATGAAGATGGTGATGATGTTGTTGATGAGGAGGGTGATTGTGATGACGATGACGATGATAACGACGACGATTACGACGATTACGACGTTGATAATGGTGCTGATGATACTGATGATGATGATTATGATGATGATGATGATGGTGATGATGATGATGATGATGCTGGTGATGATGATGCTGATGATGATGCTGATGATGACGATGATGCTGCTGATGATGATAGTGATGAGGAGGAGGAGGAATAGGATGAATGAGGAGGAGGAACACGTAGAGGACGGTCTTCTTTTCTTGATGAGCTTTTGTGGAGCCCATGTTTGTCAGCTTGGCGCTGTCTTGAGCTCCTGTGGGGCAGTTTTGGAAGTCCCTTTTTCTGCTCGGTGCTGTCTGTGGGTCCTCATGAGCCGTTTGGGGGCTTCATTGGGCCGTTTTGGTCTCTCTCGGCCGTCGTGGGGACCAACACCGACAGGAGTTCCTGCCCGCTTCGAACAGCATTCGCTTTCGACGCTGCGGTAGTTGCCCATTTGACACAACAGGCGCTTGTTCAACAGCGGCTTGAGTCGGCTTTGGACAGAATTTGCAGTTTGGCATCGTGCTCATCGTTCGGTATGGTGTCGATTCCCTGATTTCGGGCGTAGCCCGAATCTGTTTCTCGCGAGGTAAACTGGACTGGACTGGTCTGGATAGGGGCTGGACTGGACTGAAGTAAACTGAATTGGACTGAACTGAACTGACTGGTCGCACAAGTTACGCGACGGTTTTATTATCGGCGGCAAGGGGGGCAACCTATGACGCAACCAACATGAACATTTTATTCTCGGCCGCAGAGGGCGCAACGAATGGCGCAACCGATAGGACACGGTTTTATTCTCGGCCGCCGAGGGCTCAACCTATGGCGCAACCAGTAGGAGACGGTTTTATTTTTGGCCGCCGAGGGCGCAATCTATGGCGCAGCCGATAGGAGACGCTTTTGTTATCGGCGGCCGATGGCTCAACCAACCGATAGGAGACGTTTTTACTCTCGGCCGCTGAGGGCTCAACCTATGGCGCAACCGATAGGAGACGGTTATGTAGTGGCGGCCGAGGTCGCAACGAATGGCGCAACCGATAATAGGATACGGTTTTATTTCCGGCCCCTCAGGGCTCAACCTATGGCGCAACCAATTGGAGACGGTTTTATTCTCGGCCGCCGAGGGCTCAACTTGTGGCGCAACCGGTAGGAGACGGTGTTATTCTCGGCGGCCGAGGGCGCAACCTATGGCGCATCTGGTAGGAGACGGTGTTATTCTCGGCGGCCAAGGGCGCACCCTCTGGCGCAACCTGTAGGAGACGTTTTTACTCTCGGCCGCCGATGGCTCAACCTATATCGCAACCGATAGGAGACGGTTTCATTCTTGGCTGCCGAGGGCGCAACCTATGTCGCAACAGATAGGAGACGGGTTTATTCTCGGTCGTCGAGGGCGCAACCTACGGCGCAACCGATAGGAGACGGCTTTATTCTCGGCCCCAGAGGGCGCAACCTATGGCGCAACCGACAGGGGACGGTTTTATTCTGGGCTCCACAGGGCGCAACCTATGGCGCAACCAATAGGGGACGGTTTTATTCTGGGCCGCAGAAGACCCAACCTATGGCGCAATTGGCAGGAGACGGTTTTATTATTGGCGGCCGGGGGCGCAATGAATGGCGCAACCAGTAGGAGACGGTGTTATCCTCGGTCGCCGAGGGCGCAACCTATGGCGCAACCGATAGGAGACGGTTTTTTTTTGGGGGGGCCGCCGAGGGCGCAACCTATGGGGCAGCCAATAGGAGACGGCTTAGGGCGCAACTTCTGACGCAACCAATTGGAGACGGTTTTATTCTTGGCCGCAGAGGGCGCAACGAATGGCGCAACCGATAATAGGATACTGTTCTATTCCCGGTCCCTCAGGGCTCAACCTATGGCGCAACCAGTAGGAGACGTTTTTTTTTCGGCTGCCGAGGGCGCAACCGATGGCGCAACCAATTGGAGACGGTTTTATTCTCGGTGGTTGAGGGCGCAACCTTTGGCGCAACCGACAGGAGACGGTTTTATTACCGTCGGTTGAGGGCGCAACCTATGTGTCCCCCTGGTGCGACCAGGACGCTGTCAACGCACTCGCCGTGTTAGGGGCCCGCGAGTAGTACGAGGACGAAGCGTGGGCATCCAAATGCGTGCGGGGCTATGCCCGATGTATGCTCGCCGTTTGGGCTGGCGGTGGGGCCCAAAAGGCGAGCTGTCTTCTGATTCCAGTATGCGTGAGGCTTCCATCCCAAGTGTCGAGTGGCTTCCCCCTCTGTCTACCTTTTTGTTTCGGGGGGCGGGCGGAAACCCGCTCTGCGATCCGCGCCTCCCCACTTCATGCTTCTGCCCTCCTCTTCCGAACGATCGCTTCCCGGTCGCTGCGTACCAGTTTCGGTCCTGCCGCTTCTCCGACGGAGGGCATCCTGGACGTGCTCGAGGATCTCAAGTCGAAGGCCGAGGAGGAGCTCACGGCGCTGCGCAAGGCGCGCGCGACGGCCCCACCCCCGAGGCGGGGGGGGGGGGAGGCCGGCGCTCGGGCGCGGGCGAGCGGAGCGAGCGAGCGAGCCGGGCAGGCGGCCTCCAAGGCGGCGCACGAAGTCTCCGAGAAGGGGAGGAGGGGAAGAAGGGGGAGGGGGAGGCGGAGGCGGAGGCGGAGGCGGAGGCGGAGGCGGAGGCGGAGGAGGCGGAGGCGGAGGCGGCGGGGGAGGAGGAGGCGGAGGAGGAAATGGAGGAGGGGGAGGAGCACGGGAGGAGGAGGAGGAAGTGGAGGAGGAGGACGAGGAGGAGGAGGAGGGGGAGGAGGAGCTCCAGGAGGGCCCGAAGAGGCTGGGCCAAAATCATTGTTTTTCCCCAGGCTTCTGAAGGTGCGTCTCTGATCCTTGTCGGCCTTCTGGCGGCCCGGGAGGCCCCCTTCCGATCGCCCCCGGAGCGTCCAGGAGGCTCCCAAGATGGCCTCAGGACGGCCCAAGAGGTCGCCAAGACGGAACCTCAGACGCAGGTTTTTCGCTGTTCTCGGCCAATTTTGGGCCCTTTTTGGGCCCCAGGGCCGACAAGAGGAAGCTCAGGATGAAGTGCAGGACTCTGGGCTGTGGTCCAGATTTTTGGGGCGCCACGTTTTGAAGTAAAGCATGGCGCTGGATGTATGTAGAGCAAGTCAGGCGGAGGAGGAGAATTGAGGATGTATGGCAGGGGCGGGGATGACGGAGCACTCGGAGGCCCGTCTCGCGTGAAACATCCTCAGAATCCAGGGCTTCGGGATGTCTTGACTTCAGGTGATTTGCCCGGATTCGCTTGGAACATCCCTATACAATTTTGGTCTTCTAGATCCTAGATTCGATTCTTGAAGTGTGCCGGCCCGTTTTGCGTGAGGCATCTTCTGAATTCAGGGTTCCGAGATGCCCTGGCTTGACATTATCTGGTCCGCTTTGCTTGGGGCATCCTCGAAGTTCTGGGTTCAAGATGCGGTTTTTGATGTGGTCGGGCCCGTTTCGCGTGAGTTGTCTTCGGAGTTCGGGGTTCCGAGACTATTTGGTTTGATGGGATATGCCCAGATTGTGAAGATCTTGCGGCCGGTGCCGCCGACCCAGGACGACGACCACGACGACGAGCTGATGACCCTGCCACAAACCCAGAAAATAGGGTGGGTGTTGGAAGAGGCGACAAAGGATGTAGAGGAGGAGGAGGAGGAGGAGGAGGAGGAGGAGGAGGAGGAGGAGGCGGATGCGGAAGCGGAAAGAGGAGGAGGGGGAGGGGAGGGGATGGGGGAGCAGGAGGAGGAGGTGGGAGGAGGAGGGAGGGAGGAGGAGGAGGGAGGGAGGGAGGAGGAGGAGGAGGAGGAGAAGGAGGACGACGAGGAGGGTGAGGAGGAGAAGGAGGACGACGAGAAGGGGAAGGAGGAGGAGGAGGAGAAGGAGGAGGAGAAGGGGTATGAGGAGGAGAAGGAGGAGGAGGAGGAGGAGGGGGAGCAGGAGTAGGAGGAGGAGGAGGAGGGGGAGGGAGGACCAGGATGAGAAGGGGTATGGTGATGCTGATGATGATGATGATGATGATGATGATGATGATGATGATGATGATGATGATGATGATGATGATGATGATGATGATGATGATGATGATGATGATGATGATGATGATGATGATGATGATGATGATGATGATGATGATGATGATGATGATGATGATGATGATGATGATGATGATGATGATGATGATGATGATGATGATGATGATGATGATGATGATGATGATGATGATGATGATGATGATGATGATGATGATGATGATGATGATGATGATGATGATGATGATGATGCTGCTGCTGCTGCTGCTGCCGCTGCTGCTGCTGATGCTGCTGCTGCTGCTGCTGATGATGATGGTGGTGGTGGTGGTGGTGGTGGTGGTGGTGGTGGTGGTGGTGGTGGTGAGGAGGAGGAGGAGGAGGAGGAGGAGGAGGAGGAGGAGGAGGAGGAGGAGGAGGGAGGAGGAGGAGGAGGATAGGACAGCTGTCTCTCTCTTCGGGGGCAGGCCAGGGCATGGGCACGGGCCGAGCCTGGGTTCCGGGCCGGGACGGCTCCCGGGGCTGGGGCTGGGGCTGGGGCCGGGGCCGGGGGCCAGTGCCCGTGCCAAGGCCCAGGCGGGGGCCAGGACCCAGACCGATCTGGGCCGGGGGCGGGGGCGGGACGGGTGTCCGGGGCCAGAGTCGACTAGACGTAAGAGTGACCTTTCGCCTTGGTGCGAGCACAGATGGGTCCCCAGATGGCTGAAAACGAAGCGGTAGCAGCGGCTTGCGCGCCCAGGTCTGGTCTCCCCGCGGCCCCCAAAAAGCCGCGCACCAAAGGTCACTCTTACCCAGGGTCACTCTTGCGTGGAGCCGACAGAGTTGGGACCGAAGCGGGGGGAGGGGTCTTGAGCTCCCTTGCCAACATGGACCACCCCCATATGGGGCCGCCGTTGGGATCCCCCCGCAGATCGCACCCTCCGGAACTCCCGCCTCCCCCCCGGCGGGGAAGTAACCAAGGGATGGAGCCTCGGTTCGAAATGATTGCTACATTGTTCGGTCTCCCTTATTTGTTCCATCTCCCTTACGACGACGATGATTCAAAGGAGGCTGGCGTACTTCAGTTTGCTCGGTGGATTTCTGTCCTGTATCTTCTGGTCTGAAGCACGCTTCCAATGGGGACACACAGTGCTAGTATGTATTTCTGCCGTCTGCTCTGCTATAAACAGTGCCACGCACGTCGTCTTGCAAACCGTGCGCATTGCTCGTTTCGCTCGTTGCGCAAATCTTCGGCGCCTTTCCGGCAGCGGCACTCAGATAGGGATGCTGGCGTGGCATTTTTTGGGGGGGAGATCTCTCCGGTTTCGGCAGCCTTCCGATACGCCTTTGGAGCTCCCTTAGACGGTAGGGAAGGGTTGTGAGCGCGCCGCTGAATTCCCCACGTTTTGTGAGACATCTCGTGTGGGTCCCAAAGGTTCTGTGGAGGAGCCAAAAGGGCGTCCACGAGCGACCAAAAGGCCCCGAAGGCAGCCCAGGGGCCAATGAAGCGCCCGAAGGAACCAAGGGTGGCTCAAGAGGGCCCGAAGTCCGCTCATGACGGCTCCGAGACGGCCCCACGAGAGCCCCGGAGGGCCCAAGATTAGGGGAACGAAGAGTGACATAAACATCAAACTTCGGAGGCCCGCGCGGATTTCTCGGATCGGCGCTGGACTCCCCTGGCGGCGCCTCCGGCGCCGACCCAAGAAATCCGCGCGGACCTCAGAGTTGTTATACTTACGCCATTATTCGTTTCCCTATTCATGGCTCCAGCCCGCAGGGCCTCAAGACAGCCCCGAGATGGCCACACAAGATTCCCGTGGCGGTGGAAGAAGTAGAGGTTGAGAGGGCGAGGGACAGAGGGAGGAGCCCGCCATCCTGACGAACCCCAACACTCCTTCCACCCATGCCCTCCTGACCCTCATCCTCGTTCTCGCCGTTCTCCTCGTCGTCTCTGCTTATCCTCACCTGCTCCCTCCTCCCATTTGTCTTCCTCGCCATTCTCGTCTTCCTCGTGCCCAGCTGCCCGAGGCAAGCTAGGGAGGGCGTCCGCGGGGAGCTCCGCCCGCCCGCGGCAGCCCCTGTGGGGGTGCCCGCATGGCGGCGCCGCGCCCAGGTCAGCGCACCCCTCACTCGCTCCGTGCCCGCGAGGGAGCGTCCGCACTCCAGGTCTCCCAGTAGGCATGGGTGGGGGGCTCGCGTGGGGGGGTGGGAAATCGCTGTCTTTCGGGGGGCGTGGGGAGGTTGCGAAGCGAGAGGGGGCGGGTTTGGGGCGCTTGGGGGGGCGGGCAAGGGGCGTCGGACAGGTTGGCACGGGGGGGGGGCTTATTGAAGGATGTGGAGTAGAGTGCACTCGCATGCGCTTGCGTCTGGCCGGTGAGACAGCGCCGACTCAGCGTCGATTGAGCGTCGAATCGCGTCGATCGGCGTCGAACTGGCGTCGGTCAGCGTCGGCTCGCGCGAGCCAGAACCCTGCGTTCCTCATTCGTCTGATTCACATCATAGCCGCTTGCCCTTGTCGTCGGCTCCTGTTCTTTCCCCCTCCGCCCGCGCTCCGCGCAGGCTCATAGGCGCTGAGACGTCCTGACCGTCCTGAACCTCCCAGCCCTCCATAGCTCGCATTTCTGTCTCTTCCCTCCTCTCTACTCGCCCTACTTCTCGTCATCCTGCTCGTGATGCTCAGCGGCCAGCCCTCCCAAAACGTGCCGTGTACTAACAGAGACCCTTGCCCTGCCCTACATGCAAGTGCAGATGGGTGGGTCCAGATCGAGGCCGTTTGTTTCATCGATGGGTTGGCGCAGTCACCGCAGTTTTCGTCAGCATGTTTATCATCCGTAGCCAGCTTCGCTGGCACAAGCCACTATCGCATCGTTCCGTTACGGTACACGATAATGCCTTAGTCAGGCATACATCCATATTTGCTATGCGCTGCGTGGTGTTGTTCCATGCTTTCTGGATTTCAAGTGGATTGTTCCTGCAGGGATCTCAAAGGCCAGGTGATTGGGTAGGGCGATGTGCACAACGCTGTTCTATGAAAGTTGACCGTGCGTGTAGCGAAAATTACAGCGGTGCTTGGGATATGAGCGTATGCGGCGGGTGGGCACCTGAAAATCTGCAAAATGGTATTCCGAGCGACTATGCAAGCATGCTGCGCGTTGCCAAAGGCAGCTTGGATAAGCTGGGTCAGGCTTTTCGAACACGTGCTTCTGGCGATATGTTGTGTTACGGCGCCGTGAACTCGGAAGAAACGTTTGAACTTGCCCGGAAGGTAGGCCAACTGTGTGATGAGTACGTGTTTTTCAGCAATTTCAGCAATCCCGATCTACATGTGATAAAAATAATGGATGGCTCAATGCACGCACCTCAGGGCGGTAATTTTATTTCTTCGCTCAACACACCTGTGTTTCTTCCAATCTTTCGATACGTTGCAACACAGTTCGCCAAGCGGTACAAATGGTTTGTAAAGTATGACATGGACACCGTCTTTCAACCTGACAAGTTACGAGCAGCGTTGGCACAGCATGATCATGCAGTACCGGGCATCGTCTTCCCCACTGGAATGGGCCCTGGAGCGATCCACATTGCATCGCAATCAGCAATGGCTCAATATGCTGTACAACACACATCTTGCGAAGACGAGCTGGGGGAGTTTCTTCCTGCTGAAGACGTGTATTTCAACCCAATGATCTGGCACGAAAATGGAGTCTGGCCGAACGCTTGTAATTGGAGCAATGCAGCTTTTACGCTTCCCGAGGAATTTCAGGGGCGCAATCTCGAGCCATGCGAATTGGATGCAATAGCTCAACGAGCTTCTCAGGTGACCCATGTGGAAGCGATGCAAATGGAGACGAGTCAAGAGGCTTGCAATTTCAGTATTGATGATGTTCGATCACGCCTATTTGTACATAATGTGAAAAGCCGAGATGCGTACGACGCCCTTCTAAATATCTAAACGTCTTCGGCCATTGCCGCTGGCCCCCCTGCTCCAGGCATCGAGGGATTGCTCCTCGCCGTCATCCTCCGCGCCCTGTCCTTCACCTTCCCTCTTCTTGCGAGCGTAAAGTGGCTCCTCTCTAGGAGCTTACTGGTGTCTCCTGGGAACTTCTCGGCACGCTCTTCGAGTCTTACTAGGCCGTTCTGCCAGCCTATATGCTCGTCCTGGGCTTCCAGATTCTGTCGTAAACTGCGCGGCATCGTGATCCTCGGACCGCGGAATTCTCCTGATCACGACAGGTCGTGACCGTGGGGGCGTGTATCCGGCTGCGTTTCGCAGAGAGGGTGTCCGTGGCAGCGTGGACCCTTCCTGCCCGGACCCCTCCGCGCCGTGAGGGCGCACCGGCGGGAGGCTCTTATGCTTCCATGCTCGGCCCCTCGGGGCCCTTGCCGGTCCCCGGGGCCGTAACAGAAATGATTCGGGACGAGAAGCCCATCCCAGGGAATGGGTCGAGAACTCCGGGGGTTCACGGCATGGGGTCGGGGGTCTATTTACCAGTGGCATTTGTCCTGGGAGCGTTGACCCAGTTGAAATCCATATTGCATCGTGCCTCCAGGAGCGCGGCTCCAGTGAGCAGTTCTTTGACCGAGCAGTTTATGAGGGTCCGTGGCTGGACCCGAGCAGTTTCTTGGGGTCCGCGGCGTCGAGTAGCGGATCGACTATAGAATTGATTTACCCCCGAATTGACTTGCCCCATCGAAGCTACGACGAAGACGTAGAATGCTCGTGCGTCTACTGAAGGCCCTGAGTATCTTTCCCGTAGATTCGACGAGACAACTAATTCTGGGGTAAATCAGTTCTGTAGTCGATCCCCTGCTCGAGGCGTTGGGGAACCACCGTAATCACGACGGCGTGTGCAGCGAGTGCTGCGCCAGAGGGCCCCCCCCCTGTGCCTGCGGGTCCCTCGGTTTTGCCCGCGGCGTGCGGGCAACCGGCGGACCTCAGGGCCACGTCCGCGCGCAGGGCATGCCGCGCTGCGGTCGGCGACTGCGAAGGGTGTGGTTTCCGAGGCGGGAATTTGCACATGACCTCGGGAGCCTTGAGACGGGGGTCAGTGCAGACGGGGGTCAGCTAGGGCACCGGATCCTGCAGGATCCTGCGAAGACCCCCTCTGGCTGACCCGGGTTAGCGAGCCGCTCGTGGCCGCGAGGCGGCCGCGCCCATTGGCTGACCCGGGTTTGCGAAGACCTTCGTTGCATTTTGTCCTGCACTGCAATTTGTGGTTTCTTGCTGACCCGGGTCAGAAGATCCCCGATGACCACCGCCTGGAGGATCAATTCTCGGGGACCTCGCAGGCGGCGGATGTGAATATAGTCGGGCCGCCGGGGGCCAAACCATGTCCATGCCCAACGCCCGCAGGGGCACCAGGACGTCGTTTCCTGGGCGGTGGATATGGATAAACCCCCGCCTCGCATAGTTGCCACCACCCACCAAAACACCCCAACCCAACCAGAGGGCCTCACTTTGCCTTCCATCCCCATTGAGGGGGGGGGGTCGGGGAGCATCGACAAAAACACATATGGAACCCGTACGACCACAAACCCGAAGTTCGGGTCTTCGGGCTGGGTTGGTAGTCAGGTTACGCCGGGGTGTGGTTTCCTTGTTTGAAAAAGCAGTTATGCGAAGACTTCTGTTTAATCGTTCCACGTGTCTTTTATTCTAGTCGCTATCCTCCATGAAGGGGTGCACCTCTGCCACGTTCCAGCGCGGTTCGCTGAAGGTGTTCCGGGGCTTCCACATGCGTTTTTGTTTTTCTGTTTGTTGTTTTTTTTTTTTCTCTCTCTCTCTCTCTCTCTTTCTTTCTTTTTTCTTTTTTCCGCAGTATCTCTCTTTCTCTCTTTTTGCTCTCTGTCTGTCTCGCTCTCTCTCTCTCTCTCCCTCTCTCTCTCTCTTCCTGTCTCTCTGTCTCTCTGTCCCTCTCTTTCGCAAGGGCCAGCGCGGCGCCGGAGACGGGCGGGCGAACATGCGAAGAGGCAGACGGCGCGAAGAACACTGACAAAGACATCCTATCGCATCCATGCGAAAAAGTTGCAAACATTCAGGACAATTAAGGTTCTGGCCAGCTGGCGCCCACGCGACCTATGAAAACAAAGTGTTTCAAGACGTCGATGGGCCAAAAGCATTTGGTTTCACTGATCTGATGGCGCCTGGGCGCCCCAAGCCTGGGTGCTCCTTTTGTTGTGGAGCTTTCCCGCACTGCGTTTTCGGGATGTCGTTGGTTCTCTCTGTCGCGTTCGCTTGTCAACGCCATTTGCAGTTTTTCGCCCGCTCGGGCCCCTGCGCTGCGCCGGCCCTCGCGCCGCCAGGGGCGGGCAGGCGAAACTGCACAGAGGCGAAGAGGCACGCGCAAGCAAAGAAAACCACAGACCCCCTCAGAACGCCATGCCCGAACACCTGCTGCTCACCATCTTGCGTGCGACCTGCCAGAATACGAAGCATTTCCGCGAGCTCAAGGGCAGCATCACCGCGACAGTGGAAGCAGAGGAGACGGACCCGCTCGTCGTCGAGACGGATAACGCACGCTACGCCCGTGCCACCCGCCAAAGAGGACAATCACATAAAAGGGGCCCACCAGCACCGGGGGCAGCCACGGAGATGGTGGATACGTTGGCCAAACAGGACATAGGTGCGAAGTGCAAGACAGACCTCGAGAGCTCGCCCCAAGCACTCAACCAGATGGACGAGCAGTAAGACGCCGACACCTTCCCGCTGTTCAGAAAGCCTTCGAGAACGGCCAGTGTAAGATCCTTTCCACGCGCCGCAACCAGGATATCAGGCAGCACATCATGAGCGCGCACCACAACGGCAGCAGGCTGGTATGCGCGGGGCCAGCCCCGGCGGGATTCATGGCGGACGACTTGGCTCTATGGGTGGAGGCGATGATGGAGGAGTTTTGAGCCACCCCAATACGACTACACGGGCCAGCCGAGCTGGGAAGAGTTGGGCGGATTGCGAGACCGACGGCCAGTTTGTGCGACGCTTGAAGGCTATGTCAGCGAATGGAGCACACATAGGTGCGAGCAGTAGTTTGATGTCACTCCGACGGCCGAGGCGCATTCACTAAGCCTACAGCTCCGCCCCCGGCCGCGCATGACCTTCCGAGCGGATAGAGCGCGCAAGACTGATGGCGAGCACAGCGGTTTGATTCATTTGGGAGAACATGCGATTGGAGTGTGCGACGGCGCGGGGGTCCCCTCAGTGTCTGAGCGCCTGAGGGTTGGTTCGCTAGCTGTAATCAGGGGCTTCCGCCCGCCGCCTGGGCGCATTGCCAGCTCGACTATGGGTCGAGAGGACAATTCCTCCGAACCTCGCCCCCTTGCTCCTCCTGGCTTCGGGAGCCCTGCCGGCGCCCCTCTGCCGTCCGCTCATCCCCCCGCCCCCCTCACCCCCAGGGCGTTCGCGCCCCCCTCCAGACCGCTCGCGACAGAGGGCGCGGTCGCGGGAGAGGTAGGGGGGAGGGGCCCGCCCCTCGGCGAGCTGGGTCGCGGACTCGCCGCCCTGCGCGGATCGCCGAGCCGCTCGCGATCATGCGCAGTGGTGCTGGGGTGAGACGCCACGTTGAGGCGGGCACCGCCTACGTTCCAGTGCGCTTGGGCATTTCCATTTCGGTGTTGTGGGGGGGTGATGTCTATATATATATATATATATATATATATATATATATATATGCCCCCCCCCCTGTGACCCACCTCATCGCTGCTTCGCTGTTTCATTCAATCTGCGATCACCTGTCATTGACTTGCCATAGTTGTTTTTCGCGCACAAAGTTGCAAGTGCCTTTGCAGTGCCTACAAATACCTATGCGGCTAAGTATCAATAGAGAGTCCTCAGCATCTCACCTGCGCGGGCCCACAGGTCCTGGCCTTTCTCCCAGTGCGTCCACTGAGCAGAACGAATGCGTCGACACGTGGATCTGTTGTTGACCTTGTGCGCGCGCTTGCCCAGGTGCGCTCTCGAGTGGGACCAGAAACGGTCGATGATCTGCGTGCCTGTTTTGACAAAAAGGCGCTGCCCGCCAGGAAGAATGTGCTTCTTAATCTCTGAGTATTTCGGTTTCACCCATACTGTCTTTCCTTTAGAGACGGCCTTTTTCTTGCAATTCACCACGTTGTCGCGAATAACACCGGGGATGCGCATTTTGCATGCGCGGGCGCCGTCGGCATGCAAAACCGCGTTGGTATTATCCAAATGCTTCCTTGTGGTCGGCTTCCAATCCCGCTTGCGAATTGGCCCTGGCCCTGGGGCGCGACGAGTCGCGCGGCACGGATCAAGTCCATATCTGTTCGTTTACGAACATCTCCGTGCAAATCGATAGGAGCGTAGGCTTCGACATCGGATCGCGTCTGATATCGCCCAACCGACCAAACCAGAGCTCGGCGAGATCGCGGGCCGGCTGCCTGATCGCATCGCAGCGCATATCGATCGGAGCGGTGCTTTCGCGATCATCGCACGATCGATCGCAGTCGCCCAATCGGATCTTCTCTCGGCGAAATCGCGCGACGGCAGCAACGCAATCACCGAAAACCAGAAGGGCTTGCGCGCGAGGATACGAATCAGAGCAGCATCTGAGGAGCGCGCTAGTCAGCACCAGCGTACGCGGCCGACCGCGCTCGACGATGCCTCCCCGCTGCTCCCATTGAACTGGTTTCTGCTTGTCCGTCTTCCTCCAGTCGTCCTCGGCCAGCTTGGGCCGCCGTCCTCGACCCGGCTTGGGGGCGGTTCTAGGCGAAAGATGCGGGTTCTCCGTCGTCAAAGACGTCGACGGGCAAACCCAGACATCACCTCCTCGAAATGCGACTCGCACGGCGTCGGAGCCGTCGGTGAACATGCCGACCGCCTTTCCCCGAGCTCCGAAAGAACCATCCCGCTCGCGCCAGTGAACTAATTGTCCATGAGTGAAAACAACGGGGCGGGCGTCCGCGGGAAGTGCGTTCGGCAACTCCTCAGCGGCGCGATCGTCGGTGAGCTCCCACATGACGAAACCGCCGCCCGCGGCGAAATCGAAACCGAGCAGGTATTGGTCGTCCTGGCAGGAGTCATTGATCGGGAGCTGTTCATCAAGGTCGATGAAGGCGTCGACTATGCTCGTGCGGGACATCTGACGGCACGCTGGCGGCGCCGAGGCGCTGCGTTGCGAAGCCACCTGGCTCTCGCAAGTGAGATTGATGAACGTGTTCTTCACCTCAATGCACGCCGGCTCCTCCGACTGGTTACGAGCGGGGGAACGGCCCCGGACGAACGCCATGGTTTTCACGCAATTGCTTTGCTGTGCGGAATACAGAGGTACCTCGAGTGCACAGTGGGCGAGTGTGATGAGCAAGACACAGATGTCTGCAAATCAGAACTTGAGCAAAAATGCGTACGACGTCTGCTTGCGCCGAGGTCATCCTTGCAACGCGGGGCTGAGAACGAAACGCTGATATCTGCGCGCCGCTAGCCTTGACGGAGATCTTCGGCCAATTACCCACGGAGGAGCTTCGGCCACCTTCGCAGGACAAGGTTTGGACTCACCGACGGCTGACAATACGCGTGCACCCAAAGCCTGCGGTGCCTGAGGCGTGTAAAAACTACTCCAGTGGATTGACTCAGCCTTTGTAATCTCACAGATTACTGACGGCTCCGAACAACAAAAAACAAATGCTGAGGGCCAGGGCGGACCTGGGGCATCCAAAAATGGATGCCCCCGTGCGTGTTCGACATGCGTCCTACATTCCGCGCGATTCTTGCCTTCGCTGTGCGCGTTCATTTCTGTTGCAGGTTTTCAGTCGCTGTCTCGCTCGTCTCTTCCACCACCCTTTGGGTTAAAAATGTCCGGAATGGCACTTCAGGTTTCCCTGCTTGCGCCGCGGCCATCCTCACGACGAGGGCCCCGAGGGCGAAACGCAGATATCTTCGCGCCGCTAACCTTGACTCTTCGGCCAATTAGCTGCGGCGGAGTTTCGGCCACGTTCGCAGGACAGGGTTTGGACTCACCGATGGCTGACAATGCACACGCACCGTAGCCTGCCATACCTGACAAGTGCAACAACTATTCCAGTGGATTTATGGTCCAGAGGGGCATCCAAAACAGGATGCCCCTCTCGACGTGACAAGTGAGTTGCGCCTCGTTCGCACGGGCGTGCATTCGGAATTATTACTTTGCGTTTCTGCTTTTAGTCGTCATTACAATGTGATATCTGTTTCTCTGCTTTCAGTCGCGCTTCGTGTTTTCTGCAATTAACAGCGTTTGTTGTTGCTTTAATGGTGTGAGTGATTCGTCCGTTGAGCCGTGCTTGTTCGTCGCGGTGTTTGTTTTTTCCACGTTGTGTTTTCCTGAGGAGCTTCGGCGTCCGTTAATCGTAATCGTTGTCCTCAAGAGGGGCATCCAAAACAGGATGCCCCTCTTGCTTGCGACTGATCGGAACCCCGTGTTTCTTTTCCTTTTTTTGCGAGCAGGCGTGGCAATTGAATTCGTCGTTAGCACCGGCAACCAGCCTATTGGCTGCCGAAGCATCCGTCACGGATGCTCCTCCGAGTCTTGGGCTTCTTGGCCAGCTCGAAGTAGTTCTCCCTCTGCGCGGCGGTGGCCAGCGCGAGGAAGCGGCACTTCTCCGAGAGGAGGTTGTTGTACTTGGCCTGATTGGCCCCCCATCGAAAACTTTGGCGCGCCCCCGGGCGAGCGCCTGGGTAGAGCCCAAGTCTGCTCCCCGGGTGGCGGGCGGTGGCCCCCGTTATCTCATGCAAAACAAAACCTTCTTCTCCCAGAGTGCGTTCTGCAGGCTGTTGTGTTCCTTCGCCGCCTCCCTCTTGGCCGCGGCCGCGCCCTCCGCTTTGCCCGCGGCTCTGGCCTTGCGCAGCTGTTGCCTTTTTTTAGGCGGCGCGCCGGCGAAGAGGGACAATAGGGGCCGGCTTTCTTAGAAAACAGCATGGCCCTCAGAAAGCGCCTCCGCTTTTCCAGGGGCTGTCTGAGCAGCGTCCTATAGAGCCCAAAACATTAATTGTAAAAGAAAAAGCATAACTCGTTTTCTCCCCCCGCAAACAGGCGCACCGCCAAGCCTGAGGCGCGCTGCTTCCTCCACCGCGCCGCCCAGCTTGTCCTTTCCCGTCTTGGCCCTCTCGTAGGCCTTGCGGTTGTTCTCGGCCGCGCGCTGCGGGGGAATGCTAATGCGCAGTGTTGCGGTTGGCTTGTGGCGTGCATGCGTTGTGAGGTTGTTCCCCCCGTTGCCGTTCTACGTTGTTTACCGTTTTGATTTGCATTAATTGTGCTTGCTGCACTTCTAATGGGGTGGGTGGGTGCGTTTACTACCTCCACAACACCTCGGCCGCGAACTTGTCGCGACGCATGACAAACAACTCCTTGCGCCGGGTCTTGACCTGCTTGGAAAGGTCCGCCTTCTCACGTCGAAGGGTTGCACACGCGTTGTGAAATTTCTGGATGTGCTTCTGTGCGTCTTCTTTCAAGAACTGTTTCACCCACAGTTTGGCCACCCAATTCTTCAGCGACGCTGCGCGCTTCCGATCTCTGCAATTATCGGTCTTCGTTTTGACGGCCTTTTTGGAAGAAGCTGGCATGGCGTGCTGGGGCGGCCACTCTGGGGAACGAAGCAAAAGAAACTAAACATAAACAAAGCCGAATAGGCTATGGAGGAGGAGATAAGCAAGGGAGATTGGAGGGGAGATGTACTCAGAAGCCCAAGTGGCATGGACACGAAACAAATGTCAAGCAATGCCAAGCAATGCCGGGCAGGCAAAACAATGCGAAGCAAAACAAAGCGATGCAAAGCCACGCAAGGCAGTGGAGAGCAGTTCATAGCAAAGCAACCCAATGGACATCAGCACGAATCAAAGCAATGCAACGCCATGCACGGCAATGCGAAATAAAGCGAGGCAACGTAATGCCAAGCATCGCAAATCAATGCCAAGCAAAGCTAAGCGATGCCAAGTAATGCCAAGCAATGCACGCAATGCAATGCGCTGCCAATCGCTGCCGCAATGCATACCATTAACAAGAACTGCCTAGCAATACCAAGCAATGTAATCCAAAGCCACCTCCTTCCCGTCCTCATCCTCACAATCCTCGTCCTCCTCACTGCTCCTCCTCCCTCTCCTCCTCCTCCTCTCCCAATCAAGCGCATTCCGCTTCTCATCATCTGCCTCCGGCTCGGAGTAACAGAAAGCAGGCGCCGAGGGAAGAGAATGGGAGCCAGAAAATCGAGAGAGAGCGAGAGCGGGGGAACATTGGATTGCAATGGTTTGTTTCATTGTTACCAGCTGTCAGAAACCTTGCTTTTCCTTGGGTTTCGTAATTCGGATGCGCATTTTCGTCTGCCCGCCCCAGGGGGCGGGAGGGCCGACGTGGCGCCGGCCGCAAGCAAGCGAAAATGCAAACAAAAAGGCGAAACATGCAAAAAAAAACAAAAAACTTAAGGACATCCTAAGAAAGCCATAAGAAAAAGCTGCGAAAACGTGTGTTTTCTTAGGTTTTGCACCCATCGGAGGCCCCAACCTGTGAAAACGCATGCGTTTCTAATTCAGATGCGCTCAAACCTGCTGTTTTCACAGGTTTGGGGCCTCCGATGGGTGCAAAACCTAAGAAAACTCAGGTTTTCGTAGATTTTTCGCATGGTTCTCTTAGGATGCCCTTATATGTGTATATATATATATATATATATATATATATATATATATAATTTCGCATGTTTTGCATTTTCGCGCGCCTTTTCCTGGCGCTTTTCTCCCGCTCAGTCGCTCTCTTGTTCTCCCGCTCCTCCGCTCAATCGAACACTACAAAAGATTAGCAGCGCCAGCTCAAAGCACGAACGACGATGAGATAGGAAAACAAAAGGGTGACGGTCAGATAGGAAAACAGAGGGTAAGGTGGATCACAGGGGTGTGTGTGACCATATATATTGGTTGTGCGATGCACGGTCTTGCTATGAGTGTTTAGTCTGTTGCACCCCTGCAGTTATCACCCGTTTCCATAACTGCCTGGGCTCAAGCTTGAAGCGGGCATGCTTGCGCATTCTCCGACCACCGCGGCAGGAGCGATAGTCGCCTTCTGGGTCGGCTTCGCGGCCCACGGCTTTCTCGGGCCTGCGGTGGTTCCTGAGCCTGACTGGCCTCGTGACGGGCCAGGACACGAGCTGGAGGACGCCTCCCTCTACCAGCTCGTCCTTCACCAGCGTGACGCGGGAGCCGTGCCCCGCCTTCGATCCGCAGATCCATTGCCCGGCGCCACCGGCGCCACCAGCGCCCACTCCAGCGTCCCCGGAGGCGCTGCGCGTGGTGGGCGAGGGCGTGACCGCGACCGTCGAGGTCCCGGTGGTGCCGGCGTGCGCGATCGTCGTCGTGCTGCAGGCCTTCGTTGGCTGGGGCTGCTGCCGCTGGTGCGAGGGCCGGGTCGCGGCACGGCGCGGGCTTGAGCCCGTCGGAGAGGCGCGGATCCACGTGGCGTGATGGCGCTCGTCGACGGGGCCGTGCCTGGCATGCGGGTGCTGGTGCAGTATTCGTCGGATCCAGGCTGGACGCATGAGCGTGTTCTGTGCTGGCCCACGGCTGCTGACCTCTCGGAGTGGATGGTGTATACTGCTGGCAACCATCTGTATCCTGAAGGGCGGGCCGACTATACCTCAGTGGTGAAGTGGACTGGCAAGCGGGTCTACCCGCCGGGCACGACCAATGTTGTTGCCTTCAGCCGGCCCCTGACTAACGAGGAGCTTCTCAGCGTCGTCAAGCGGGGCCGCGGTGAGGCGATCGCTGACCACGGCAACGCGGCTGCCACCTGGGCCGGGACAGGCGTGACCTGGACCGGTCGCCGCCTCGCAGTGCCGGACGTGATGGCGGTCGACGCGCCGAGGGTCGAGCGGCGGCTGCGCGGCAAGCAGGTCCGCCCCGCCGAGGCCGAGGCGGCTGCGCCGCTCGCCGACGCCGACGGAGGCGCTGGCGCCCCCGGGCCGCGGCCGCCGCCGCCCGAGGAGCTGCCGCCAGGCACCTGGGTGCTAAACTCGCTCGACGGCGGCGCCGACTTCGGGCTTGAGGTGAGACTGTCGCCGAACGCCGTCGTCCGGGGCAGGTACGTCGTCGACCAGGACTCGCTGGGCGAGTGGTTCCCGATCGAGTTCGTGACGGACGACGCGATGGAGCGGTGGCGCGAGGATAAGCTGGTGGCGGCCGACAAGCTCCGACCCGCCCGCGAGGCCTTAGAGGAGAGGCTCTTCCCGGGCCGCGAGGCCGGCGCTGGCGGGACCCCCACCCCCCCGCCAGAGCCAGAGGGCGGGGGGCTTGGCCCCGAGTGCGTCGCCACTCACGAGAGGGAGGACTTGCGCACTTGCTGGATCGATACCGACGAGACCGGGGCCAGGTTCAAGGAGTGGAGGAAGGTCGTGCAGGAGAGCACACAGGAGATCTTCTCGGACTCGAGCATCCGTGGGCCTCCCGCCTGCCTCGAGATTTGTCGTAAGATGTATCGCCGCGGTGGCGCGCCCAAGATGTGGTTTCAGGAGTGGTGCAAGGAGCAGGGCGTGACCAGGAAGGATCGCGCCTACCACGAGGTGCAGACCTTGATCGAAGTGCTGTACCTGGCGGGGACCTATGACCAGCTCAACATGGGCGCCCTGGCGTCGTTGGAGGTGGTCTCGCGGCGGCTGCTGCAGTACGTGGAGGCCTACGCGCACGGGGCCGAGAACGCGAACTGGGGCGCGGCGAAGCACCTGGGCGGCACGACCAACCCGCTCGACTTGGTGCCCGACGCGCTCCGCAGCTATGCCAGCCGACTGTCCAAGGAGGAGCAGGAGCTGGAGGCGCTGCGGATGCGGTCCCGCGTCCCCGGCGCTGCTCCAGCCGACGGCGCGGGCGCGGCAGCCGCGGCCGTCGCCTCTGGCGGCCTGCCCGCCGCTGGAGCTGCCGGCGGCGCCGCGGTCGGCGCTGAGGGAGGTGATGCGGCCGGCAGGGGCCGCGGTCGAGGCGGGCGGGGCCGTGGCCGCCGCCCGCCGGGCACATGACGCCCGAGGCCGAGGGAGGCGAGTGCCCGACCGTCTCCCGCAGAACGAAGGGCAGCTCGGGGCTCCGTGGGTCGGCCTGCCTGCCCATAGCCCCGTTGGCGGCGCTCCCTGACGACTGGTGCGACGGCCTGACGCCTGGTCAGCGGCGCCGCTGGCTGCGAGACGGCAACGCAGCCTGCAAGAGCTTGAATTACTTGCACGGTGGTGAGCATCGCAGTGGCACGGCGCCCGAGGGGAGCGTTAGCCAGCGCAAGATGGATCTCATCAGGGCCGATGTGCAGCAGCGCGTCTTCTCGGCGGCTCGTCGCTGGATTGACGTTGACAGCGCCATCACAGAGAAGGAGGCTTTGGCCAAGCTTCTGAAGGGCAAGGCGGGCTACGCTCCTCTTGGCTCTACCAGCATGGGCTCCTACGAGTACTCGCGGGTCAGCTTGCCGGACTGCGTCCTGGACGCCCCCAGTCTGGCCCAGATGCTACCTGCGGAGGCGAGGATTTTTCTCGAGGAGTACTCCACCAAGATGCTGCTTCCCCCTCGTGAGGCGGCACTAATACGAGAGCTTCATGGACTTCCTGGTTGTCATACTGACCCTCTGCTGCTCCAACGTCTTCGGAGTTACGCGAAGTTCGTGAGACGGGCGCTCAGGATCGGGCTCGTGACTTTGACCCGACGACCTTTGAGCGTTCTTGGATTGTTTTTTGTAAAGAAGAAGGATGGTGAGCGCCTGCGCCTCATCGTGGACTGCAGACGCAGCAATGCTCTTTTTCGTCCCCCGCCTGGTGTCGACTTGCTGTCAGGTGAAGGGCTTGGCCGCATCGAGGTGCCGGTGCTTAAGGAGGGGGACCTCAGCGAGCTGCGCGTTGTCCTGGGGGTCGGCGACGTCGCCGACTGCTTCCATCGGATGAAGCTGGACGGCGACATTCGGCGCTACTTCTGCTGGCCGCCGCTGTTAGCCTCTGCCACAGGCGAGACCCTCATCGAGGGTCAGGCGGCTGGCGACTCGGAGATGGTGTGGCCCATGAGTCAGAGCTTGCCGATGGGCTTCTCATGGTCGCTCTTCTTCGCGCAGGCGGCCAACCAGTCGCGGCTCGATCGGCAGCCGTCCTTGGCAAAGAGCTTGCGGCTCAGTGATCGAGGGCCGCCTCTTGTCCTTCGCCGCGGGCCACGTAGTGAGGACCTCGGCCACTTCATGTGCGTCGATAACGCCGGCGTCCTTGGTTTGTCAGACACCGCCGTCCGCTCAGCCCTTTACGAAGCCCAGTCCGATTTCGATCGTGACCATCTCAAGTTTCATGAGGTTGAACTTCACGTGGGAGGTGGTCGTACACTGGGCTGCCACCTGGATGGAGCAAGGCTCTGCACGCGGCCTACGGACGAGAGGTTCGCAGCCGTGCGGAAGGGCCTGCGATGTCTCCTCAGGCAGCGCAAGGTTGCCGGGTGGCAGCTTGAGATGGTGCTGGGCCACATGACGTTCATGGCCTTGGTTCGGCGCGAGCTGCTGTCTATCTTTCACGCAGTGTACGCTTTCGTGACGAGCAGCTATCACACCTTTTCAGTCCTTTGGCCTACTGTTC